TATAATCTTTAAATATGTACATACTTATGTTCACTATTCATGCTTAAATACTCTCTTATAGTAAGCAATGTACCCTCAATATTAAATTTTAGTATAGAATTTACTTTCACATACTTTTCCTACTGGCTTCTTTCATTTTACTGCTATGTTATTTAGAACTATTCAAGCCATAAAATCCGCTCAACAACAGCCTTTCTATGATCATACCCAACTGCAACATTCATTGCAGCTACATTTCAAGAATTATTCGGATGCTTAATTTGCTAAAACATGAACTGAAGTATATAGTGATACAATATAAGTGTACTACCACTTGGAACTCTTTTCTTAAGTGCTAAAACTCACTTCATATTTTGTATTACTATATGTAATTTCAAATTAGCTCTTATATACAAATAGATTAATTTAAATTATACATATAAAATAGAAATATATATTTTTATGAAGTATGTCTTGCTTTACATTGGTATTGACTCAGGGCCATCGCTTTAGTGCCACTGCCTCCTCACTTTCCTCCGCTTCAAAATCTGGATCATTGGGGTTGTCACGAATCTGGCTTGGCAGGAAAAAGGTTTTCATGTGACACATGGTTATGAGTCACAGGTATGTTATTGTTTCACACATATGACTCATTCGAGTCATATGATTTGTTATGTGTGGAATTTGTGATGCTTTCGCACTTGGCTCAAATGTGAGTCATGGGACGTGCGCCTGGCGAATGTGTCTTGTGGGTATGCCTTGTGCAAATGAATTATGTTTCGCACATGACCTCATTATGAGGCCATGGGTTTTACGCATATGACTCAGTCGAGTCATATGACTTGTTTATTGCATTATGATTGGTTTATGAGTTTTACGCATGACCTTATTATGAGGTCATGGGTTTTGAGCATGTGACAATCTTGGTCACATGATTAGTTTGTTATGATTTGATTTCATACATGTGACCACTTTGGGTCACATGACTATGGGTGGGAAGAACACTATATAAGGAGGCCGATACCACCGAGGAGGATAGGTTCTTCACGCTTTGTTCTAAGTACTTTTCCTCGTCCTTGCCGTCGCTTCGCCTCGAGTGTTTCTTTCACCCTCATGATGGGCATTGATACCTTGGATTCTGGGGGAGATATCTGAGTTCGCTCAGTAGTTCATGGGGTCTTTGGTGTTAAGGTCTATTAGGTGTTGCGTGGTGGATAACTTGTTTGCGTCTCGTTTCATTGGGTTGGTTATCTCACGATACTAGTACTTCGAGCACTTCATCACAGTCGCATGCGAGCTCCTTTCTGTAAAATGTCTATGGCTTCCTGTCTATCATCTACTCGCAGGTTTCGCGTTCGATTGGGGGGATTGAACATTGTGTTTGGAGGGATCACCAGTGTCGTTCTTTGGGCCAGCTCATGTCTTTTATTGGGTTTTAACTGAGTCCTTAGTTCTCGCGATACAAAACGCCCTTAGGTTGGACGAATGACCTTCCCAAGTATCAACTCGTCGTACCGGTCGCATCATTCCTCAGGTGGCAGGGCGGTACCCACCCAGCCCCTCTTTGTTACGTTTTCGTTTCTACGGTCCGAATCCTATGATGTTGTTTATCACCATTCCCTTGGAGTTTTTGTCCTTGCGGCATTTACAGTGATTCAGTCAGGTGTCTCCTCCTCGCATTTGTGGGGATGGCTTTGAACCTGAAAAACTCTTACCCCCTGGCGTGGTTATTGTTGCTGCCTGGGGTGGTGTGGGATGATTGGCTGCCAGGCACTCGAGTTGCCTGTGCGTCTGGGTGGTTCGGTTGTGGTCTGTAGTCGGCGGCTTCACCTATTGCAAGTGGGGCCTACGTTCTGTTTGTCTGCTTCTATGCGTTCGCCCTCCCCCTTCTTGTCGCGTCAGTTGGGGATGCCTCTTGCCTGTTGTTCAGTCCATGCCTATTGCCGGACTTGTGGGGCTGGCTTCGGTTGGCTCTGCTTACTCTTTCCCGACTCGGTTGGATTTTGGTTTGGCTGGGTTGGATGGTGTGGCTAGTGCCAGTGCCTTCGAGTGTTGGTGCTGCGTCCTTTGTCGCTCCCGACTGTGGCTGGTGGGCCCCTCTCGGCCATACGGTGCTGGGGGTTGGGGCTCTGTTCGTATGGCCAAGACCAATAGCTGCCGGGTGGGACTGAGTATAAGCTGTCCTGTAGCTGTCGGATGGTTGATCTGTCTGAGGGGCTGGGGGGGCTGGATGGGCTATGTGGCGTCTGGTGTGTGGGGCTTGGGGGAGGCTGATTGGGGGGGGAGAGGCACCTGCGAGCACCTGTCGGACCTGCGTCAGCTTGGACGAGGTCTAATTAAGTGTTTCCAGTCCAGCTTGGTCTGTTGGGCGAAGCTGCTGAGTGCTGTAAGGCTCCCCGATGAACCAGTTAGCTGATGGCCACCTGTGCGGATAGTGGGTTGCGACTACCTGGTTGGACTTATTTGGGTTCTGCGTGCTGGATGTTGTGGAAGTTTGTTTGGTTTCTTTGGTTTGGCAATGGTCATGGCTGGCGGGGGCAAGGGACCACGGGTGGGAGATAGGCCCTACTAACCGTTTTGGTCTGTTACCACCTCTATGTATTTTTTTTTTGTTTATGAGTTTTGTTTTTTGAGGGACAGGCAGCGGGTACAGGTCCTCCTCACCATTATACTCTTCGGAGGCACTTGGAAAAGAGGGTTCATAGGGTCGACAGCCTGGCATGAGGATGTAAGCGGTGGACATGTTGGTCACCTCCTCTCTGCCATTTTGTCGCCTGTAGTTTATATTTGTGGTTTTGTTGGTTTTCTATTGTGGAGGAGGTTTTGCGGGACGGTGTTCAGACCAGGTGGGAGTGATTTTATATTTTGTTGGACGAGGAACCTGGTTGAGTTGGTCTTTTGCTCGGCTTCGGCTACGCTTAGTGCTGATTGGCTTCATACCAGAGGGGCTACGGACTTGGACTGGGGCGGGCACTGGGTTGTTTGATGGTCTTGTAATTAGTTCTCGTACGGGCATGACTCGGAGATGGCAGGTGCGGGGCCGTAGACTTAGTTAGCTCAGGATTAGTGGTATACCGGTTAGCGGTATTCCTGTGCCGGCGGGGGCTTACCGTATGCTAGTGTTGACGGTACAAGTTTAAATAAAATTAGATTGACTTCTAAGTACTTTTCCTACATATTACTTTAATGAATATAAAACATCTTTACGATCTTTATCTTTATTGCGACGCTATTGTTATGCCAAGGAAAGTTCTTTACGAAGAAGAGTTAGAGAAAGCTTACAATAGGCATTCCTGATAGAAGACAAAGGTCTTGTACTATCGGTAACGTAGGCAGAGGCCTAGTGCTATCATAAGACTAAGGAAAGAAAGAGAAAAAGAGAAGTATCGTTCCCCATCGCCAAGAACTAACTATCTGAGGAGGCATCATTACATTGAAAGAGAAGAAGAGAAGTATTGTTCCCCATCGCCAAGAACTAACTATCCAAGAAGTGATCATTACATGTACTTCCTAATTCCATTTATATTATAGTCAGCTTAGATTAATATTCCAATTATATAGTAGATTAACTAGGGAGGGGGTTCAGTATTCTTATTCTCTTTTACACTTGATACATAGTCTCATATCATTAATGGTAATTCTTTAGTACTAAATTGTGACTCTATATTTTAAAGCTTCTTGGAAATCTTCCCATAGTCCACAGTCGGAGAAATAGTTGAATTGGCAATCCACTCAAATTCCCACTTGATAATCCACAGCGCTGTATGCTCCCCTTTTCCATAACTATTGGCTACAGCAAGGGCAATTCTCTTTTAAGTACTATTGGGCTTTTTTCATTGAGCACAAAGAAAACTGTATACCATTTCATATCTTTTTAAAAGATGGCCTTTAAGCATCCCCACTTGAAACTGTGAAACCAGGTTAGATTTTCCTTGTAGCAAATTTCCTAACATCTCTAATCTTTTTGATCATACATCTTGTAAAACTTCCTTCCTTATAAGACTTCAAGGACTACTCTGAAGAACCTCTGATTGTTGAATATTTCCTGCTAGAATTTCAAATTAGTAATTCAATTAATCTAAAAAGAGTACTTTAATTTCTATTACCAGGTTGTGCTTGACCTTGACCTTACTGCCACTTCCATAGGACTACAATATTATATGACTTTTCTGCTTCTTTTCCTAGCTTAATAAGTCATTCCAGCTGATTCTGCTCTGATGACTAAGATCCTGCACCATATCCACCCTGCATACCCTGCTCCGTATACCTTGTCCATCTAATCTTTACTGCTAAATTCCTTTCCGGGTTTTTCTCTCCTTCACTGGATGCTATTATATTATCGCTTTCTGAGTTATCATCTAATTCTGATATAGAGTCAGAGTTATCATATGAGAGCGATTGGTATGGGTTGTTGTCCACTCTGTCCACTGGCAAATTGCATTCCTTGAGATTCATGCTATGCACCAGCTTAACTTACATGCAATTGAGAGCTGTCTCTTCCATTTATTACTGGTAGGCATGTTCAACAAAGTTCTGTTTTTTGACTGTAAGAATAGGGGTATGCGATTGGGAATGTGAGCTTCTTATTCTAAGTCTTCCAAGGTGTTCTTTTATCTTGCTTAGCACTGACTCACTCTCTACGATTCATGAGATATCACTCGACTTTGACTTCTTGGCACATATTTCCCCAGATCCGTTGATTAATTCTCCTGTCCCCTATACAAATTTCCCAATATTCACCCCCCATCTTTCCCTTCTTTACTTATTCCTTCTGTAATTCTCTTCTTAAGCTAGTTATCTTCACATTTACAGAAGTATTTATCGATAACTCAATATCTGGTGTTGGTGTTGTTGAGGCGAGGCTAGTAGTTTTTTGTACCCATTTGGTGATGGTTGGCAGTGTCCGGAACCATACCGGGTTGGCACTTGGACAGGAATTGTGGAGAGGCAAGGATTGCAGAATCCTGGCTTTTGGTATTCCGCCACGCTGGTCGCCCGGACATGAGCAGGGTCACGGCAAAGCATTGTATGATAAAACACGATCTCTGAAATTCCACAACCCCTCGGTAACAACCCTCCCTCAACAACGTGCCTACGCCCCTCCAGAGCCGCCGCATACTTGTACAGTAACTCTTCACGCCGCAAGAAACACCGTCCGGGACAATACTGTAATCCAAGCGAGATCCGCCTTAATTGCGGGTCATTCCCACATCCCCCACCCAATTCCCACCTCGCCCTCACCTCCACCCTACCGCAATAACACCACTCGCTTTCTCTTCAGTTCACCAACAACGCGAGCTGCAATACCATCATGGCATCTCCATCCGAAGCATCACCACCAGCAATAGCTGCCGCCACCGATCCCCTTCCCGAAGTACTGCCAATAAGACGAACACGGACAGCCTCCATTACGCAATCAATACTGGACGCGAATCCCCATTACGGTGTATTAGCTGCAGCCGGTGAAGCTCTTGCCCGTGCTCCATCTCTGAAAGACTTGCGGCGAAGTTCTGTTGGTAGTGGAAATAGCCGGGGTCGGAGGGGAAGTGCTATTTCTAGTGCGGCGACTCCACGGGCCGAAACAGGATTGAGAGCTGCCGCGATTGACGAGGAGGAAGCTGGCAGAAGGAGTCGGGAAATTCCCCCAGTCAGGGGCATGATAGACGGCATCGAATCAAAGAAACAAGATGGTCGGCGCGCGGAGATGACGGCGCAGGATGGTGGTGAGCAGGAGGATGAGGATGCCGAACATGGTTGGTGGCAAACTACGTTAAACGGGTTGAAGGCCTTCTGGAAGTTTTTTACAAAACCAATGGTTCGATTTCATAATCGCGCTCCAAAAGCCGTTTTCTTCCAATATCTGACTTTCATCACAGGGCTTCTTTATCACAATTTACATGCTTAACGTTGTTGCCTGGGGTGGGATGCTATTCTTACTCCTCTGTAACGCGGCGCCGGCAATGTGCGTACCCGACTGCAACGATATCGATTCCCCCCGACGCATATGGATTGAAATCGATTCACAGATTCTCAATGCGCTCTTCTGCGTAACGGGTTTCGGCCTCGTACCTTGGCGGTTCAGAGATCTATATTTTCTTCTCAGGTGGCGCCTCTTTTCTGATAAGCGAGCCCTGCACAAATTGGAGGTCATCCACGGCGGCTGGTTTCGGGGCCCTAGTGGCGTGAATACTGCTCATACCACTACCGGTCAGGTCGCACCTCTGACCAAGAGTTGGAAGATGGATTACGTTGTTTGGCTTTACGCTTGGAACACATTCTTTCAATGTGCGCTAAGCGGCTTCATGTGGGGAATGAATAGATACAATAGACCAAGTTGGAGTACTGGCTTATTTGTTGCATTGGCATTCATTGTTGCTGGGATGGCTGGGGGTCAGGTATGGTGGGAGACGAAACAGGTAAAAGCGGTTGAGGGGGAGAGGACTGTGGAAAAAGTGGAAATTGAGGGTGGTAGAAAGGAGAAGGTCAAAGATAAGGGTAGGAAGTTCTGGGCAAGAGAAGAGAGAAATGTCGTTGTGGTGAATAGGTTGACTGGTTAGACGTCTTCCCACAACTCCCTTTCGAGTACACATATACCAGAACGACTTTTGGTTTTACGTTAGTCACACTCCTTGCTAATATTTCTTTTCGTATAAGTTATCTAGTACTGCGGATTGTGGATAATGTAAATACTTGGGAGTTGTAACGGTAGCTTAAGAATTCTTGGTACATAAACGCCAGGGTCGTGGACTCTGAACACAATGCTATATACCATGGGTTATCCTTTATATCGCTCTCTTCACTCTATCCTGTCGGGTGCAAGAAATCTCAAATAAAGACTTGGCAAGGAGCCCCTTGACGTCAGATGGGGATCCTTGTTGATGTGTGCGGTGTGATGACGTGAATGATTGCAGGCCGGGCTTTAACTTCATTCATTCTCCCCCACAACACTAGATTACGGTAGGTTGTCTTGAAGTCTCACCTCTCCCCGCCGTGATTCCGTGTCAGCTCCCGGCACCCACAAGCTCCAATAAACCATTGGTACAAACAGCGCTCTTACCGTACCGTCTTCAGCGCACCCACACACGATACAATAGGGAGGTTCGAAGTTCTCAGTACACCTCAAACCGAATACACAACATGCTGTGCAGATACAGGTGTACCGCTTTCAATGTCACCTGTATAAACTGCCGCTACGACATGTGTATCGGCTGACTTTTCCATTAACCGTATCCTAGGTGCTATCATCTTGGCCGGAAAGGAATACCATTAATGTGAAAAATATTTTTCTTTTTACCTTTTTTTGCCTGGCGTCATCGTGGCCTAAGCACGAGTACTGTACCCCTGAGCCTGGTATGCTGTGTACTGTACTGTACCTGCTCGCCAAAAGGTTTACCATGGACCGTATTTTCCAAGAAATACATCTCTATCGAAACACCTGTAAATTACCGTAAGTACTCGAATAGAAGAAAAATGTACTGAGGAGTTGACCTAAGGTTCTAAACAATAAATAGGAGTGATGGCGTCAGGAGAAACTGAGTGAGTCATCCCCAAAAGACGCATTGGCCTTCAAAAAGTTAACGTCAACTGATCAGGTAAATGATTGAGTTAAAAAACAATCTGTAATTAATTAAAGAAATAAAAGAGTCATATCAAGGTACTGTACGAGGGGGGGGGAAAGAAGTAGTGCGACACAGTAGCAACCGCTTCCCACAAGATCGCAACTCTACTCCCAACCCCCATCACTACAATACTCACTATATCCTCCGCCACCTGCCAAACCATTTCAGAAAAGCACTATGAGGGTAAAGGGAACCCGCAAAAGTGAGGATAAGTAGTTTAATTAAATGAATATGTGTATAAAGTTGAAAGAATAATAAAATTAAATGATTTAGTGATTAGTCGACAAAATCTTGAGTGGCAGTGATCATTGACGAAGAAGCGACAGCGCTTCGAGTGGGAAACCACGCGTGATGGCCGGATCCGTATTATTGCTCTCCAAGAAATAGTGGAGTGGTCTTTCAGAAAGATAGCTTCCGAATTGGAGGAAAAAATAGGCCTTAAAGTTCACTATAGTACCTGTGCTCGCATCTATCAACAGTATCGGGAAACAGGTAGTTCTTCCAACTACCAGCGAACAGGAAGACCTCCAATCTTCCAGGAGTCTGATCTACTTGATCTAAAGTCTTTTATTAAAGAAAATAAAAGAAATAGAAGACTCTCTTGGGAGGATATTAAAAAAGAAAAGGGATTAAAAGCATCATCCAGGACAAACAGGACGGCAGCTAAGAGTTTTAATTTAAATAAAAGAAAACCATGCAAGAAGTAAGTACTTTAATGAAGATTCAAGTGTTTACATAGCTAAAAGATATTTTAGATGGAGATCGTGCCCTAAAAATATACCAATTAGATTTGGTTGGTATATGAGAAAAAGAGCTTGGAAACTAAGAGACTGGTCCAGAATCATATAAACTGATGAAACCTCATTCTCTACAGCTGAATTTGGGTAGAGAGGATGGGTGATAAGAGAACCTTCTGAGGAATATGATCAGGATTGCATTGATGAGGTCTGGAAGTCAGGAAGGGAGACAGTTATGGTATGGGGAGCCTTTTGTGGGAATTTGAGGTCAAAGCTAGTGGTAGTACCAGGAAAGGTTAAAGTTGTTAGGCGGAGACAACCTGATAGACTTCAGAGTTGTCTAGGCCGATCGAGATTCGTTTTTATAGACGGAGATTGTCTAGGAAGGCTCGAACTTCACTCGTTTCGTTTATGACTACTAAGAGCGAAGTAAAGTAGGGTAAAGTAAAGTAAAATTGTAAGAACAATATTATATTGTTAAGGTCTCTTCTCCGTTGCTTGATGATGTCTAGAGCTTGGGAGGCACTTCGATATTTATATTCCGCGTCTGAGTGTTCGCGGACTACATCTAACTAACATACAACCATGTACCTTTTTCCAATATAACTCGCAACGTCGGGTTTTCCTCCAAGGTGCGAACACCTGGCAACCCTGAAAATCATCACACCCTCTTTGATAATTATAATATGACTATTTGGAAGTCATGCTGTTTCCAATAGTAATTATCCGATGGTGAGAGTCTTTTTAGACAAATGGCCCAATTCTCAAGTCGAACTGTGTTGGCTCCAATCGTCTCCCTTGTCGATGAAATGATCAGTTTCGTCTGCGGGTTGCATTTGCGAAGATAGTGGTTATTACCGACTTTCTAGGTCATCTAACTTCAACTCTTCATAACTCCATACCCAACCGATAGGTCTTTTCCGGAGGACTTCCTACTTGCCTGCAGGAAGCCTTTCCATAGGATTGGTAGATAATCCCTCGGTCGGTGGAGCCGAGGGGGCGAAGCGAGTGAGGCGTTTCACTCGCTGGGCGGACAGCTGTGCTGATGGGAAGGGGACGTGAGAGTTGTGGTATCGTGAGAAACAAAGTGTCGACAATAATCAAAGAGATTGATCGTTTGTTTCGTTGACCTATGATCAACTGGTCAGGACGGGGGGAGAAGGGTGATACTTATACCTTTCCCCGTAGATGATGGCGGATGAAAGTCCATCGGGTGTGGAAGACGGGGGCGTGGGTTTGACCCTGAGCGCCCGTCGTGAGAGACGCAATAAAGTCGTCAAATCGCTAGTGGTGTGATGCGAAAAATTGCGGGTGAGCCGAGCGAGCGAAGCGAGCGAGGCGATTCTCTAGCCGGGCGGACAGCTGTGCTGATGGGAAGAGGACGTGAGAGTTGTTGTAATCGTGAAACAAAATGTCGACAATAATCAAAGAGATTGATCGTTTGTTTCGTTGACCTATGATCAACTCGTCAGGACGGGGGGAGAAGGGTGATACTTATACCTTTCCCCGTAGATGATGGCGGATGAAAGTCCATCGGGTGTGGAAGGCGAGGGCGTGGGTTTGACCCTGAGCGCTCGTCGCGAGATACGCAGTTAAGTCGTAAAATCGCTGGTGGTGTGATGCGAAAAAATTACCTCGCCGCTCGTAGGAGGGTGTGAGGCAATTAGTTGTGCGTCGGCGACCTCGTATTCCAAGCGAGGTGTGGCACACCGATTTATCGGTGTGCATGCCGTCATGCATGCATCCTGCAAGTAAGCCGGAACCGGAAGGCTTGCCAGAATAGGTAGTCATCGTTCCGCATATGCGCGTACTAGGATTATCCCTACTAGGGCAACGGGCATGCATGCCTGCATGCGCATATGCACGAGCTCATCCGTGCATAGCCGAGGTGTGTACCGGATTAGTCTAGACAACTTCCAAATCGGGACACTTACCTAAAACGGAAATATTTCCTATTATGGAAAACTTCCTATTTTGGAAAGTGGGTACGACCTTCCTATTACGGAAGTGGCGCGCCAAGAGATTTCAGCCCCATGTACCAGCCACCACGTGACGCCATCACGTGCCCATGAGCCACCGCCACACGCCACCGCCACGCCGCCACAGTGCCACAGCTCAGCCACTCACGTGACTGCGCCACAACGCCACAGCGCCACACCGCCTAGCCACACTAGCCGGTTAGGGTTAGGGTTTAGGGTTCGGGTTAGCCGAGCGAGCGAAGCGAGCGAGGCGATTCTCTTGCCGGGCGGACAGCTGTGCTGATGGGAAGAGGACGTGAGAGTTGTTGTAATCGTGAAACAAAGTGTCGACAATAATCAAAAGAGATTGATCGTTTGTTTCGTTGACCTATGATCAACTCGTCAGGACGGGGGGAGAAGGGTGATACTTATACCTTTCCCCGTAGATGATGGTGGATGAAAGTCCATCGGGTGTGGAAGACGGGGGCGTGGGTTTGACCCTGAGCGCCCGTCGCGAGAAACGCAGTAAAGTCGTTAAATCGCTAGTGGTGTGATGCGAAAATTTGCGCTCGCCGCTCGTGGGAGGGTGTGAGGCAAATAGTTGTGCGTCGGCGACCTCGTATTCCAAGCGAGGTGTGGCACACCGATTTATCGGTGTGCGTGCCGTCATGCATGCATCCTGCAAGTAAGCCGGAACCGGAAGGCTTGCCAGAATAGGTAGTCATCGTTCCGCATATGCGCGTACTAGGATCATCCCTACTAGGACAACGCGCATGCATGCCTGCATGCGCATATGTACGAGCTCATCCGTGCATAGCCGAGGTGTGTACCGGATTAGTCTAGACAACTTCCAAATCGGGACACTTACCTAAAACGGAAATATTTCCTATTACGGAAAATTTCCTATTTCGGAAAGTGGGTACGACCTTCCTATTACGGAAGTGGCGCGCCAAGAGATTTCAGCCCCATGTACCAGCCACCACGTGATGCCATCACGTGCCCATGAGCCACCGCCACACGCCACCGCCACGCCGCCACAGTGCCACAGCTCAGCCACTCACGTGACTGCGCCACAACGCCACAGCGCCACACCGCCTAGCCACACTAGCCGGTTAGGGTTAGGGGTTCGGGTTAGGGTTCGGGTCAGGGTTAGGGTGAGCCGAGCGAGCGAAGCGAGCGAGGCGATTCTCTTGCCGGGCGGACAGCTGTGCTGATGGGAAGAGGACGTGAGAGTTGTTGTAATCGTGAAACAAAGTGTCGACCATAATCAAAAGAGATTGATCGTTTGTTTCGTTGACCTATGATCAACTCGTCAGGACGGGGGGAGAAGGGTGATACTTATACCTTTCCCCGTAGATGATGGTGGATGA